TAAATGGTTTTTTACTATTATTTTAAAATTTTAATATTGTAGTTATACTGACTTTGTTTATATTCTCATATATACGAGTATATATATACAAATACATACATAATAATAATCGAATAATAAATGATGTAAAATGGAACTATTATTATTTTATAATATTTTTCATTTTATCCTCTCTTACATGTACTTTGAGCAGTTTACAGAGTGTTTTCTTAAAGTTGTATTGTTTATCAAAGTATTTTTCAAGAATTCATTTCCATTTACTATGTTCTAAAGACCTCAACTATAACAGCTATACTCTAAAAAGTGTTATTGAAAAAATTAAAGCATGCAACGCCGAAAGAAATGTCGTCATGTTTGTTAAGTATCGTTTTCACTTGTTATTTTTAAAGGGTTCAGGTATCGAAACTCAAAGTGCAACACCTTTTGATCCCATATCGAAAACTACCATTGTGTCTTACATAGCCAAAATTACAGCATATTTACTATAAATACAGTTGCTTTTAATTAAACCGATTGGAAAGAAGGCCTATTGTACAACAATTTTTTTGCTCTTACAAGCTAGTATGTGTATGTTAATGAACGAAACACCTGCTGTAATATGTTCATACATATTGAAATACGTATGAATGCAAGTAAAATGAAACGAAAATAAATTGAATAAACCGAAAAGCCTGACAAAAATAACCACATTAACTTGCATGTTATTTAAAACATATGATGTATTTTATGTAAGTATTGGTATGTATGTACTGGTATGCACGTTACATACATATAGTTTATATGTTGTTAACACGATATGAAACTATCAATCTATGTCACACATTGTTTACCACATGAAAGGCGATATTCATATTTCGTTAGCAAATTTTTTTTTTTCCTCTTTTCTTCTTTACTTTTTCTCCATCTTCTCACTTATTTAGTTCCAATGCATGATTATGAAACAGTAATGATTTTTTATAAAACTGCATTGTAAATTTTGGAAGCATAATAATTTTCAATGTAGTCAAAAATTCTGACTCTATATAATATAAAAGAATTTTTACATCCGAAACAATATTCAAATATACGGACAAAATTAAAAATGATTAATTCAAAAACTAAAGTGAATTAAACAAAATTGAGTTACTTATGTGTGGATGACAGGCACTTATAAAGCTCATAAATGGTATAAATAATAAGATAAAATTGATCAACATGAATTTGAATAGTTCATTGACTTGTATATTACTCTTTTAGTTAAACAAATTTATCTTAGTTTTAGTAAGGAAATTAGATCATAACCTTTTGTGAATGACAACAATTGCAATATCTTGGTAAAGTGTCTTGAGAGGAGTTGGATGAGAACTACAATATTAAAAATTTCTTTTTATTAATAAAATATGACAGTTCATGTAATACTGTCACTTAATGTGGCATAATTTATGTGTCATAGTGTCAATAGTGTTTTAGCGAGAAATTTTGGTATTAAATGGACAGTTATAATTTTGAAAGTGTTTATTGCACTTACTTAATTATAGGAGAACTGAAAACCATTCTACTTATTAGTTAGTAGCGTTACAAATGTATAATGCTACTAACTAAATCGCATTTAAGTGAGCGAACTAAGAGCTTGTTCATCTGCTCACATTTTTTTTTTGTAGAGCAAAAATTGTACATGTGGTTAAAAAGTTGTCCTGTGTTACGTTATCCAAAATCAGTTTCAACTTTTCCAATAACACGAAATGGTATTGCGAGTTCTCTTGTATATATGTATTCATGTATAATACTACAACATACACGAAGTATTTATAGCGTGGTCTGTAATAAATTATAAATTTATTAAAAAACAATGTTACCTGTCCGATAATAAAGTATAAAATATCTGGTTAAAAATTGTTGGTGGTTAAGTTATTTCTTCTCTTTGTGTTTTTCGTTTATTGTATCGGACCCAATGCGAATCGTTATGTTTCATAATGTATTATGGATTTTATGAAAATTATGAAAAATAAAGAAAAGTTGTTTTATCTTTTCATTTTTTGTTTTGTATATGAAAATATTGTCAATAAAAACTTATAATATTTTTAATAGGATTATAAAAATATTTTAAAAGGAAAATGGGGGAAAAACAGATCAAAAAAAAAAATTGAGGTTTGTTTTCGCTGATATTGCTTCATTTTTTTTTTTGGGTCCCATTTCCCATTTAAAGTTTTTTTTTGTTAATATTATTTTATTATTAAAAATATCTGTACATTTTGTTATTCATATTGTCCAAGAGTTGTGTATATTGATTGGATTTCTAAAGCTTTTGTATAACCAGAAAATGCTTTTAATATTTTAAAAGCATTTTATAGGTTTCTTAAATAAAAAATCGAATTTTCAGGAACAATGCATAAAAAGTAATTTTTTTTTTTTAATTTTTCTTACTTAAAATAATTTTTGAAAAATTTTAATATTTTGCTGGTAAATAAGAAATTGCGATTATATTTTGTTTTTCGATTTTTTTTTCATTTATATTCAAATTTATATGAAATTTTTGCTAATTGTTTTGGGTAAATCTTATACTCATGTGCTTAAAAGAGATTTAAAAAATTGAATGAGATTGAATAACTATTTTTGTTACAGTTTGTGAATTTCAAATAAATTTAATTTTCGAAAAACTGAAACATAGAAATTCTTGAGCTTCTAAACGAAAACAATCTCTTTAAATTTCAATAGGTATTCTAGTCCGCTTTTTTGATTAATAAGATAAAAGTTAGTAAAATGATTTAGTAATATTGAAAATCGTATGCAGAATCAGGCTAAAATTCTAGAATGAAGACATTTCTCTGCCGCATTAACTGTAAAAATAAATATCTAATCAATATCTAATCAAAGGAAATTGATGACAGGTTTGTACAACTTTTAATGTGAACTTATTTTTTAATACTATCATCAGTCTGAATTAAATGTGAAATTTTATGAGCAGGTTAATTTTGAACATTCATTTTTATACTTAAGAGATAAATAATATTATAAAACTGTTGCTACCGTACGACTTATATTACACTTTTGACAAACTTTTGTACCACAACACAAAGCGTTACAACGTTCCTTTGTGACTTAAAATTTTGATGAAGATATTGAGTAATAAGGCGGTCATATTTTTACAAAAAAATAATTATTAATTTTAACAAATTATTATAGCCTGCATATTTTTATTTACCATATAAAGAAGAAACATATAAAAAATCTTGTTTTAACAAATCGGTTTAGATAAATTCATTCGTTAAGTACATTTCATTCATGGAACCGTTGTGTAAAAGCAAAATAAGTGATGTGGTCAGTAATTATATCTTCGAAATTAACGAAAATGTTGCACAAGATTTAAAATTCCTATATATATTTCTTTAAAATTTTAGGCTTTTAGTTAAAATACCTTGAAAAATATTAATTTGACTCTTAATAGAATTTTACTTTGTGAAGTCCGAATTCCCTGAAAAGTTTATCAATTACTGCCGGCATCAATTTAACCTCAACTATTAAATTTCAACAAAATTCGTCAATTACTTAGATATGATATGATAAAAAATGTAGAATCGTCCCCAAAAATTTTATGTGATGATTGTTTAATCTGAATTCATATATTAAATTTTAAGGGAATCGGTCGACTATCTCCCTTATATGACCAGAAATGTTAATTTCGCCTGTAGTAAACGTCAGTTGCTGCCACCTGATTTTGACACGCGGTCGGAATTAAATTATTCTGAGTGTTGTTCATTTACATTAATTCTAATTATTTGGCCTATAATAGGCCAGATGTGTGAAAAAATTTAATTTAATTTATTTCGTTTTATCTCAACATATAAAATATGTACACACGTATCGTACCTGTAGATGTTTTGTAATTTATCTTTTTAAGACAATTTAAGAAAATTTATTGCTTTCTCATTATAATGTCATAAAAATATTTAACTTCTTGGGTAAGTATAAAATATAATTTTAATATAAAAATTTAACAGTTAGAGAATTTTTAGAATAAAAATTCCACAAAAATTACTTTCCGTTTCTTTTTTAATTAATTTCTAAAAGAAATTTTGAAAAAATGTGCCTATTAATATTCTTCTGTCCACCTGTACCATTGCTTGTAGGAGTTCGGACAGATAGATTCACAAGGAAATAATTTTTTTTCAGATCATTTTCTGAAAACAAAATTTTTACTTATAACCTTTTTCTTCAAAATTATGCATTTCTTAGAAATGTCCATCTCTTTGACTTATTGAAATTGTACCGAACTTTTTAATTCAAAAATCGTATAAAATTTGCGACAGCCCTTTCTTAATCATAATAACTGATTACCTGCCCAACTTAAAATTGGCATGCTAATGCAACATTTTGTAAATTTTCTAATTTTTTCCGATGTGCCCCTAAATGTATGCAATAAAATTTGATTGTTAGTAAATAATTAAAAATTTGTATTTTAATTCCTAAGTTTCAAAGTACGAGTTTTTTTACTCATTTGAGTTATCGAAATGAAATGTGCCACTTCGTAAGCGGCTATGGTTTGATCGACTGTATTTTGTTGAATGCCAACACTTTTTTCTCATTTAATTAAAAGAATAAAATAATGAAAATTTAATTTTCATTGTTCAAATGAAAACAAAACAACCTTTTTTCTACTTTTGTATTTATTTATAGCATTTTTATTTTGGAAAAATTTGGCTATGATGGTTTAAATTTTTATTATATTGTAGACATATAAAAATTTCCAAGCATATGTTATACAATTAAGTAGGAACACTTTACAAAATACAGGGTGGTCTGTTTCTTATTATAAAGCGCTAAGGGGTAATTCTTTGTACTATTTTTAAAAAAAACTGTTTATGTAAAGAATATGCTTGAAAATTTTTCAGTTTTCTATCTCAAAATTGCATGACAAGGCAAATATTATTTGAAAATGCTAGGTTTGGGTCAACCATTGATGTAACTGTTTATGAAATTAAATTATGTGAGTGTGATCGTATAAGGTCTTCTAACAGGGAAAAATGTCGCGATCAATAAATTGCTCTGGCCTCAAAAATTTCGAAGCTGTTATGGGTATTTGTTAGGCAAAATTCTTTTAATACAACTCTTTTTAAATTTACCTAAGACGTCCGAAGCATACCCCCCCTGCCGCTCACCTCCACACTACGCGAATATAATTCTTCTCAATAATATTCAAGAAATTAATCACATCCCGAGAGCTTTAATAGCAGTTTCGGACCACCCTGTTTAAATAAATTCACATTTTAATTAAGGGTAATTAAAGTTTTGCCGTAATAATAAAATATTAAGAAAATTATAATCAGAATAAAATTTTAAAAATGAAGGGGAAATAAATTCATGGGGATCAAAATGATTAACGCGTTTATCAATGTTATGCAAGCATGTATAAAATGTGTTGTGCTGTGAAATGCTTACAAATTCAATAAAATTTTTTCTTTTCTTATTTTGTAAATTTTTTATTTATAAAAGAACAAAAAAAAAATGGTGAGTTGCATAAATTAATTATTTTTCCATTAAAATGTTCTTTTATGCTTTCAAAATAGATACACAAACATCCGTGCTTGTATATAACTTTGGAATATGAAGAATTTTTTAACAAGAAATCAGAATTAAACGTTGAATTTACCATGACAATAATTTTTAATTTACAGGGTTCTCAGTTGAAATGAATGATGATTCTTTTAAATTATAAGTATAAATTTAGTAATTTGTTCCTGTATGTTAAATTGAAATATTTGACTTAAAAAGTAAAATATAAAATAAAATCCTGAGTAAATAACTATGTAAATAATTGAGTACAGAAACGATTTTTGAGTCTTTTTATCTACACTTTTTATTTCTCAAATTCTTGTAGAGAATTTTTACTATAAAGGAAATTTATACTATAAAGGATTAAAATAAACTTTTTTAAGTTAAGAATTATTTTTACATTAACCACCCTTGAATATTTAAAAAAAAATTTAAATCATATTTCTATAAAATTTTCCAAAAAAATTTAAAATTGAAATATTTATGAAAATTTTGTTTCTATAATTAAATTTTATACAATTATTTTCATATATTTTTCACAGTAATTATTTGTGGAAGAACAGGTTTATAAAAATTTTATTTTACAGATTTTCAAATGTCTATGTATGCGTCATTATAATTGAAAATGTATAAATTATATTGTGTTACATACATGCATACATATATAAATTTAATTTAACTTAATATTTTATTAATGTGTTTAAATTTGTGCCACCCTTTAAAAAAGATTTATATTGATAAAGTAAAAGTTTTCCAATGATTTACTTACATACTTTATTGAAATTAATACTGATAAACGCATGAAATTAAAAAAATTTTAAAATTTTCGTTTACCTATGAGAAAACACATAAGGTTATATCATTACAACAAAATTTAAACGTGATTAATTCGGTATGTGCTAAAATTTTATATTAATAAATACTTTTTGCGCTTGTGAGTTCTTGTATTTAATTTCCTGCTTACTGCTTATAAGCCATAATCAATATGGTGATCAAAAATTTGGTATGAGGATTAAGACTCTAAAAATTTTTTATTATTCGATTTCTATTTATCTACGAGCTTCAACAGTTCTTATCACATTGAGAGCACGCATTTATGGGTCTCTTTATATATTAATAGTATTTCAATAATAAAGTGTTGGCGCTCTAAAATCTGTAATTATGTGATTTTCAAAAAAAAAATTTAAATATTTAATTTAATATACTTCTGCAGGGGGTGTGAATTTCATATTGTCTATATAATAAAAATAAATTGAAATTTATTCATTAAAAAATTTTTCCAATAAAATTACTATGTATACTAATTTTTACTTTTTTACTTTTTCCTTTTTTCTTTTACATGTAAAACTTCAAACAAACAAATATATAAAAAATTTATTTACATATATATATATATGAATCAGTTCTTGTAAATGCCAATCAAATTGAAAGGATATCAATTACACCTGCTGATGAAGAAGTCATTAAATTTGTCAATGATTCAATATTCGTTTTATGCAATATTCCGGGAGAGAAAACAGTAAATTGGAGATCACCAAAAGGGGAAAATGTTAAAAATGCAAGGGGACGTGTACATATTGAATCAAAACCGCCAGGTAAGTGAAAAAAGAAATTTATTTATTTTCATTTTCATTTTAAAATTAAAGTACAAACATACAAACAAAGATTGTTATTAGTACTTTTATATAAAATGTTCTTTAATATTATAATTTGGATTCTTTGGTAATATGATGATGATATAATTACCGGGAATATAAGGAAAATTAAAGGATCCTTAAAAATGGAAAATGTTTTTAATTTAAAAAAAAAAACAAAAATACACAAAAACAAAAAACTTTTATCGCTTCCTTTTTAAATAATGATTAAAGCATTATAAGGTAAAATAAAATGAAACTGCTACAATATTCACTTTATACGCTTTTTGCAATTAATTTTATTTAAAACTTTTAATTACAAAGTATTTGCAAAAGGAAAAATCTTACTTAAAATTGAAATTGTAACATGGCGTGTAAAAATAAATTTAACGTCATTTCTTTTTCTTTTTCTTCTCCTTCTTATTCTTTTTATTATTTCTCCTTATTTTCTAACATTAATTTAATTATTAGTTAAAGTTTTGAGTATATTTTCTTGTTATTTCACTCAATTTCTGCAGTCTCAATAGAATTTTAATTTAAAAAAAGTTGACACAAACAGGAAGGACAAAAAAAATTGTAGTATAAGGACACAAAATAACATTTTTTTTTTGTATTCTCTTAAATTCTTTTCATTTATCATTTTAATTGAATTAAATTCGATTTTATAGCTCAATTGGCTTTAGTATTCGAACATATCAGTTTATCTGATAAGGGTAATTGGACATGTGCTGTTGAAGATGGTGTTGGTACAGCAGGATTCAATTTAGTTGTTAATCGTAAGTATATGTACATATATACATACAATATATACGAGACAAACAAATTATTTTACTTAATTTTTGTTGATAATCACATAAAACATGTTATTATTATTATTGTTTAAGTAGAACAAGTGTTGTCGTTTTTAATAAATATAATTAAAGAAATCGATAACAATATATTGGAATTTGAAATTATTACGTACAAATTGGAATATAGAAAATCTTTTCTGTATTTTGTAGAGAACTAGAATTCACAGGTTTCTCTATGAAATTTTTAAAATTTATTAAAATTTTTTATATTCTACACGCCATATACCATTACATAATTCAATTTTCTAAAATTTTATTAAAAAGTCTCTTTAATATTCACACAACTTGTCAATATTAGAGAGAGTTTTTATGTCATAATTGTCACTTTATAGACGCACTGCCATTGTTTTTCAAATTCAATATTGAATTTGTGAGGCTATTGTAATTAAGAACAATTTTTCGAATTAAAAATTATTTAATAGAAAAAAATCATAAGTTGGCAACACAAATTTTTCAAAATTAATGAGAACATTTTTCTTTTTTTTTAAATAAAATTTTTAACTTTAAATTACTTGTTACACAGTTTTCTCAAAACAAAAAAAAAAAAATAAAAATTTTTGTTGTTTTTCTTCAATTAAATAATTTGTCCTTTTTTCCATGTTCAATTATTAGAGCGAATAACTTTTTTGGATACAAATACATTGCAAACAGTACGTGAAGGTAATGAAGTTAATTTACGTTGTGAAGTTAAAGGAGATCCTGAACCAACAGTAACATGGTCATTCAATGGGAAAAATATCGATTGTAAGTTCATTAGTCTCATCTATAATAATGTCTAATATATAGATAGATGTAGTTCGTATACGTAGAAGAATATGAGTTGAAAGTTCAAGAAAAAAACAAAATATCCTGGTCGTATGTTTATGTCAGTTTTTATAAAATATAAATTTTTTTATTTTACTTTTTTTAAGTTGTTCGTATACAGTTGTAAAAGTTTAGCGACATATTGCTGTCCGTATATAAGAAAGAAAGTTGCTCAGCAATGTTTTAATTTTTTTCTATTTCTTTTTTTTTGTTTTTAAATAATGTTTAGTCATTTGTATTCTTATAATTTGTACAATTATATGATTTATAACTTTAAAAAGTTCCGGGAATATTAAAACTTTTTTTTGTGTAAAGTTTTCTTTGTTTAAAATAATATTTTGTTTGCTTTTAAATTTTTAATGCGCTGTTATCTCTGTCCATTCAGACGATAATCTTGAGTTATAGATTGTGTGTTTAATAATTTTTTTTTTAAATTGTGTACGAAAAATAGATAAATTTAAGAGCTGACTTAAAGTCACGTTATGTTTTTTGATTAGAAATGTCATTTTAAAAATAAATTGACAGTTTCTTCAGGCTATTAATGAAGAAATTTAAGATAGCATTTTCACCGATTTTATTGCATATAATAAGGGAGGTGATGTGATGGCACCAAATGTAAGTTTTCGATAGGAACGCATTTCTCCATTGTAGGGAAGTATAAATAAACTATTTTTAAAGAGATATCACTCCATAATGTCTGTGTATCTGTCGGTCAGTCTGTCTTTCAATCTGTGTGTGTGTACGCGGTTTATCTCAAGTTCAGCTTAACAGATTTTGATGAAATCTTATACATGAGTTTAATTTGGGCTGTTGCACGGATTGCTCAACTTTTGGGATATATTTGGCGTCGGAAACTGAACCTTTTTCCGAGCTGATTTTGCATTTTTCAGAATATTAAGAGAAATAATCAACCAATTTCCTGGAAATTCAATATTTATAATTGGAAAGGTCAGGTCTCGAGAACCGAACTGGAGGCCGATTTCACATTTTTTACCATATTTACGAAACGTATTAATAGGATTAAAGAGAAGCGCCAAATTACTATTTAAACTCTGTCTTAGTAATATGACAGAAAGCTTGTATTTTTAGATTGAACAATACAGGTAAAACAATCGAATTGCTGCAAAATATTTATGATCTTATAAATTTTCGTTGTAAGCAATCAATTACATCACAAGTTATTTATTAATTTGGAACTATTGTTTTGAATAATTTAGAAATAATCAATCACTTAATTTGGTCTTACATCAACAGCCGATATGAATTTGGTATTAATATAAAATTTTCAATTGGATTTTGTGAAACATTTCATGGATTACAAGAACTTTGTTAAATTACAAGAATTTTGTTTTCGCTTGGTATGGTGATATTTTTTGTTTCAAAATATTATACTGGGATGTATTCGTAGTCGAAGCTTTCATTTGGGGTCAGTAGTAATAATAATAATTTTATACCATACCGTTTCCTTTTGCTTTGAATGCAATTATAGTTTTTGTTACAAGTTCCTTTTAGGTAATTCAAAGCAAATAAAAGATATCCCTGTACATTGAATCTGAATTACCTAATCTATGAACATTGTATTTTTTAAATTAAAGTAAAATTATGGAAGGGACACACTTTGTATCATTTTCGATTTCGCACAAAGTCAAAATTTTTTTTCTCTTTGTATAGAATCCTTTTAATGATTTTATACATACTTATATATACAATGATAAAATAAAATTCAGGTCATGCTGTTACATATCCTTAAAATTAACAAAAGCAACAAAAACAAATAAAAAATTATCATTTTTGTTGTCATCGCTTGTTGTATTTTCTTTTTTTTTTTTTTTGTTTTTTATGTTTGGGTATTAGCTATGCTTCTTGAATTTTTGTATTCTAAATTTATATTTATAGTTTTCTATGTTTCTATATTCACTTTTATTGATCATAATAAATTTGTTTACATAACATCTATATATATATTGTATGTACATGTATATAAATATCTTATAGTAACTAATGATGCGCCACATAGAAAATATCGGAAATTAGGTGATGGTCTACTAATAAAAAAAGTAACACAAAATGATACTGGAGAATATACGTGCCGTGCATATCAAATTTCGGACACAATTAGTGATACACAGGATCATACAATTTTATTGAAAATTGAACGTAAGTTAAATTATAAATCTATATATATATTATTTGTAGATATATTTATACATATTATTACTGTTATACATTACATAATATGTTTAATGTTTTACATTTGGTTTTTAAATACCATTAAGCACATACAAACACAAAATAATACAAAGTATATAGAGAAAGTAAAGTATAAAAATCAAAATATTTGTAGTACGTTCTTTTGTAATAAATTATTATCCTTGCAAGAGGAATACAATATTGAACACCAGAATATCATAATAAAAAGTAAAAAAAAAAAGCAAAATAAATAAAAACTAAATAGTTATTAAATTTTGTATTTAGTTTACAATGTTGTAAATGGTATTTATTGTACAAACACATGTATTGAATATCAATTTTATATAATGTTGTATTTTAGGCATTTAATGTCAAATTAAGATTTAAAGTTTATTTAGATTAATGTTGAAATTGAAGATTGAATATAAAAGGATTATAATACATACAATATAAGTACCTTAATGAATAAATATATAAGTATATTTTGTATAACTGAATATTTCATATAATTTCAATATTATTTAAAGAAGAAATTAATTGGAAATTTGTAATACAATTGTGTTTACAATTATATGCATGTTGGTATAACAATATGAATGCTAAAGGATTTATTTATTATATTATATGAAATTCTATTTTAAGAGAATTTCCTTTCGATTTCGATTTTTATCAATATCGAATTCAATTAGTTTATTTAAAATTCAATTGAATTGTATAAATTTTAGTTTTATTTTTAAAAGTGAATCAATTGTAATTCATGTTGATCATTTGTAAATATATATTTAAATTTTTAATAATATTTTGATATTGTTGAATCTGCAATTGATTGAATAGTTTTTTTAATGTGCACATAATAAATATTTTCTAAAATATTTTGGGTATTTGCAGAAAAATTATCAATATTTTTACAAAATTGATAATTTAATTTTCAAAAATTGGAAAATTAAAGACAACTTGTAACATTTCATATGTACCATAATTAGCCTCGTAAGAATAGATATTTATACAGTGTTTAAAATCCCATATTCATTAATAAATATTTAGAAAATAAATATTTTTAAAAGAAAAATGATTAGGTCTAAAAATCTAAGTGAAGACGCTTTAAAGGCAATTTTTCAATCATTCAATTGATTTTTAGTTATCCTTAATAATTCATAGGATATAAACTGTTGTAAAACACATGCATGGAACTTTATTAATACATGCATAGCTAAAAATAGTAAAACAAAATGATCATAATGCAGTAATTTGTTGTCCATTGATGTCCTTAAATATCCTTATTATTAAAACAAATTTGATCAAATTCTAGTAACTTTTTTTATCATACAGATAAGTTTAGGATTAATATAAATTGTGATTCAAGGCGATTTTAATTAAAGTAGTTATGTTTGCATTTTTAATTAGTGATATAATAAAGAAATTAACCGTAAAATGTGTAGCGGCATATAAAATTAGAAGAAAATTGCGGTTAACCATTTATCATTTTTTAAAAAGTGGTAAATTGACATGATCTATATTATAATTATAATTTATGTGTAGAACAAACAATACTTTAAATCACAAAATTAAAAAATTATTGAAAAATTTAATTAAATTACAAGGACTTCTTTTTATAATTCATTAAAGAGTAAGCAGCTATTTTAAAATTTAAAAAAATACATAAAAATATTTTTCACGCACACACCATCAATTATTGTTTAACAGAATTTGTACACAATTTAAAATTTTATATTTTTTGGATTAATTTCTGAATTGCATTTTACATTCTTTTTCTCTATTTTTAGATAAACCAATGTGGTTAAGTCATAAGGATATAAATGATATACGTTATGCATATATAACTGGTGAAGTTAATTTAACATGTGAAGCAACTGCTGAACCACCAGCAAATTTTACATGGTATCGTCAGGGTAAAAAAGTTGATAAAAAATTACATAAAATATTTAATGAACCACATAGATCTGTATTAAATATTGCTGTTAAAGATTCATCACATTTGGGTGAATATAAATGTATTGCAAAGAATCCATTAGGTGAAATCGAACGTGTTGTTAAATTACATGAAGGTACAAAACCAAATCCACCGTCCACATTTCAATTAAGAGGCTTAAACTCAAATACATTTGATGTTGATGTCGGTTCCGTCCGTACCTCTAAAGTACGTCATTTAATGGATGTTAGTGGTTATCGTATCGAATATATAACAGAATATGATTTTAAATTAAATGGTGCAAATTGGAGTTATGCAAAACGTAGAGATTTTCCATTTGAAGATGGTAAGTTTTAGATTAAACACTAAATAAGAAATATAATTGAGCATAATTTTCTTACATTTAATTTCTTTTTTTGCATATTTTTACATTAAAAGTTTTAACGATTCACAAAAGTTTATTACCTTTAATTTTTGGCGAAAAATAAACATCCGCAAGATTAAGAAAAAAATTTTAAATTCTTACTTAAGTTCACAGTTTTAACCCTGTTATTGTAGAAAGAAATATCTCAGTGTCGACTTTATTTTTCTGATAAAGCGCAGTGAATGGAAAAAGTTTTAAGCTGTTCACGCGCAACGAAAAATGTTTTCGATACTAAGTAATCATGTAGATTACAGTATAAAGAAATGCAAATAACAATTTGTCGGCAATTTCTCCATATCGTTGTAGTTCAGTTGGTAGAGCGTCAGTCTTGAAGGCGGTATGTGACTGGTTGGAATTCAGTTCGAGGAGAAAAAGTTTCTAATTTTTCTGCCTTTAACTCGTTCTTTTGATTACGTCAACCATCTGTTCTACTGTAAAATCAGAAATTTCTGTTAGTTATTCTTATTTCGTTTTCTTTCTTCATACTTGCCTAACTCGGTTCCCCTGGAATCAACCAAATGTGTTTATTGAATGGTAATAAACTTTTCCATAATTTTTACGTAAATTATGCATCTTATTTAGATAAAATATTTTTTGGAAAATATTGCATAAAATCAAAATAAACTTTATAATTTTTTTTTTTTGAAACTGTTTTGCATAAAATAAAATTTTATTAAATTTTTTAAATTTTTAATAATATCTCTATATTTAAAATATTAGATAAACTTCTTTCATTGTTCAAATTCCGAATGAAATCTCATTTAAATATTAGATTGTTTTTTTTTTTGCCTTCATCATAAATTCAATAAGAAAAATGAAAAATTTCTATAATAAAAATCTACTTATATTTTATAATATAATAAAATTCTAGAGAATCTATATGATGGAAATGAAGTGGAATGCATAAATGGAACTTCAACATATCGTCAGCGTTTCGATGAAAATGGTACAGAATAATATGAAAATAAGAACAATTCTTATTTTAAAGTTACTATGGTTAAAAATGTTAATTAAAACAATTTTATTGAAAACCTTGTTCTTCAAAATTTACAAAATAGTAAAACTAAAATCCCAATATAATACAAATAAAGTTTTTTTTCATTAATTTTTTATTAATTAATTCAAATTAACTCATTTAAAAAATAGCACCTATAAGTATGCAATTTCATTTTGAATTTTCATTAATTCACCAAAATAATATTATTATATAGAGATGTTTGACAATATAATTTAAAAAAAAAAAACCATCAATAGATTTGTTTAATGAGTTTATAGCGTTTTTGAATATTTTATTAACTAAAATCCCTTTATAAATAACAACAACAACTTTGTTAATTACCTAGATTAAACAAAAATTATAATTAAATTAAAAATTATAACCATGCAAAAGTTAAGTTTTTCTTTTTCTTGTTTATTGTTTTTATAATGCGTAATAATATAATTAACCCCGTTTTTAAGGTCAGTTTACTTATATGCTAATGGTAATACGCTATTTTTGTCGATTGCCGTATCTGCTTTATTTGCCTTATAATATAATTGCAACACAACATAAGTTAGAATTAAATAAATTAATTTTTTTCCCTGTCTATATTTTGTACATATTTTTAATACGAAAATATAATCCTTTTATTACTTTGCTATCATTAGCATAGAGTAAACAGTCCTGTACCACAAAAAAAAAATTGTTCCACATTTTGAATTTTTCCCCGTGTTATTGTTATAAAGTTACAATTGTTTACTAAAATTTAAATTTTTTAATATTAAATTTAAAAAATTTTTTCAAATATTTTTCTCATTTATATTACATATATATATATAAATATATATATGTATACAGGTGTTACATTCCTTATTAATAATTTGGAACCGAATACAACATATTTAATGAGAGCAGCTGCTAAAAATTTAGCTGGTTTAAGTAGTTGGACAAAAGTTGAAAAATTTACAACACAATCAAATGAACCACCAACAAATTCAGCATTGAAACGTATACCATTAAATTTAAATAGTTTAATAAAAACAATTTTGATAATCAGTATAATAGCAGTCATTTTTAGTCAATTTAATTCAATCAATTTTTTACGATCGAATAATTTGATTAGATTCATTCAATTGAATAAAAATAATAAAATTCCAATAGTAATATCAATAGATTCTGATGCAGTTCATCTAAATGATGAATTTTATACAACAAATGATAATGATATTGATTATAATGATATTGATAATAATGATATTGATTCAAATAGAAATGATAATATAAAATATTTAGAAAATCATTTCAATATTATTAAATATATGGAAAATTTATTTAAAGCAACAGTAACATCTATTTTATGCTTTGTTAAATCATCAAAATTATCAAAATCATCATTAAATTTATTATCAAAATCAAATTCATCATTATCACCATTACAATCATTATCTAAATCAACGGTATTAGAAAAAAACCAAAAAGAAATATTAACATCAATATCATCATCACCATCATCATCAACATCATCATCATCATCATTAACATTAAAATCATTTCAAATAACATCAGAATTATCATCATCAATAATATCAACATCAATGGTATTACCATTATTATCGATTATACCAAATTTAGAAAAAACATCAAATAAAATTCAAAATACACTACAATTTAATTCAGCATCAACAGAATTCGCTTTAGGTATAGAAGAAAAATATAAAGCATTTAAAATAGAATCCTTGAATACTTTGTGAGAAATATTATATTAAAGGATATTTGGAAAAAATATATAAATAATAACCAAAAAAATAAAATAAAATCAAACTACAAAAATACATAAAATTTTACACGATATTTTGTATAAGTATGTATGTAAATTTATGTATGTATAAATGTTAATAATAACCGTACAGATTCATATACTTTTTAATGGTTTCTTTATTGAAAAGAGAGAAAGAGAAAGATTTCAATACTGATTCAAATTTTTTTTTTTCTCTTCTGTATTATTACCATAGTTAGTTAGAAGGATTTATAAATTTTAAAAATAATTTTCTAGGTTTCTAAAATTTTTTTCCTTATTTATTTTAATTTATGTATTTCATTGGGCTCTTATTCATTTTTGTAGAAATTTATAGAAAAAAAAAAAATTAAAAAACAAAACGAATTTCATCAAAGTCAAACTTCTGAGAATTTTTTTTGTTTTCACAAAAATATTCTTTAATCTTATATGTTAAAAGGATTTGCGTCTCTAATCCTTAAAATATCTCAAAATAGATTTCATTTTTTTAAAAATTACGTGATATTTATGATATTTTAAGATATTTAAAAAACTCTTTACAATATAAAGTAGTTGTTAAAAAGCAAATTCATAGCAATTAATTCTATAGGCCTTGCAGAATACAATGGAAATTAATTAGTTATTTCTTGAAATTAAAGGTATAATAAATATTTTGTAAATATTTTACATTATGACGATATATTAAAAATGCGTACTGACACAAAATAAAAATGCTTCAAAATTAGAAAAATTTATGATGGGCCTACCACACAACCGACAGCAACATGATATTTGTTGAAACAGGCATAAAATTGAAGCTTATTCAAAATGCATAAAAAGTTTGGAACGAGTACAATAAAAATCCACGACCAGAAAACAAAATTGGAAAAAAAATAATCAATTGTTGTCCCAGATATGGTCGAAAATATAGTATTAACACTTAGTAAAGAGTTGGATTCTAGAATTTGATTTTCTTAAAAAATTTTATTGGAATATGAAATATAAAATTTCAAGAAAATAAGCTAAAAATAGTTAATTTGCAGTTCTGTTTTTATTAGAAATTGAAATTGTTACGATTATTGCAACAATAATGGCATTTATTACATTGCAATGAGGCCAGTAAAAAAGTTAATAACAAAAATTATTTTATATAATACTAAAATACCTCTTGAAAAGTTCTAGATCATAATTATTATGATTTTTTAACTTGAATCTTAACAAATTTGAGAAATAATTATCAATTAATTTATGAAAATCATTCCAGAAAAATTTCGGTTCTTTTTTTCACAAAAAATTTTTTAAATCATTGCACATGCGAAAATTTTTCAAATTCTTGCACATTTGAAAAATGCTAAAACAAATTTACAGGAGTTTGCCATCTGTTGTAGAACATTAGAAATACTTTTGCAAAACAAAATGTCATTGTGGAATTGAATCTTAGAATATCTTTTTAATTTTACAGTTGTTTCTTGTAATTTTATGGTTCATTTTCAAATGGAGACAACTATTTTTTTCTTATCCAACATTTGATGTCGTAATTTCATGGTAAATCAAAAATCTTACTTACACTTATGAATTATGAAACTCGTTTGTGTTTTATAACTGTATGCCATTTTATTAAATAAATTTTAAATTTTGAAAACCAACATATTTTAAATTTGTTATTATTACTTTTATTTATTGAATTATTTTTATTTCAACAGATTATTATGATTTACATATGCTATGAAACAATATGAATACATATAATAACGATTGTATTTGGGTAGGTGTTTTCATATACATTTAATTGAGTCGAACAATATTAATGTGCATACTATATTCAACTAACATTGATATGTATAAATGTTTGGAAATGCATGCTAAAATATCTATATGTTATAACATGGTGTTAAAGAAATTCAAAGATATAAAAAAGGTAAAAATATCAAAAATAACTTGTATGTGCGAAGTATCCGTAAACGTATGCAATATTTAGTAGATTAAAATATTAAAATAAATTTCTCTAATCAGATGAGGTAAAATTTAATAGTTTTATATATATATATGTATTGTTTTTAAGATTATCTAGAAATAAATTCCAATTATTATAGCAATTGAGTTTTCCAATTGTTCTCCTTATTATTTTTTTTATCGTGTTCGTATAAAATTTTGTAATGCCTTCATTTAAAAGAACAATATGAAATATTTAATTAAAATTCTATATTAAATTTATACCTTATTAGATATTATGGTAATTTTTATGGAACAATAGTACTTAAGTTTTGTACAAGAGTTGCATGGTACGACTTTAATGTCAAACCTGTTTTTAGTTTAATCTGGACTTGATTTTAAAAATTAAATATTTCATATGCAGTAAAATGAGCCGCTTTTGATTTCAATATTCGGAATCCATTCAAATATAATGATATTAGTAAAATACTTTATAACCATTTTCCACAACTCTTTCTAGAGAAGTCTCAAGTTACTAATTTTCTTACCATCCTCTGGATAAATTTTCTCTATTTAAAATCATCGTCTGTGGTACTAAAAGTCCTACTGAATAATATGCGAGCAAAAAAAAAGATTTATTAAGGATTTTAATTATTTTTCGGTTTATTATTTTCTTACAATGCCATTTTTATACAATCACTCAATTATTATTTTCCATTTTAATAGCTAGCGTAACGGTTACAACTATTGACACTCTGAAAATTCGGCACAATTATTGACACCCTAATTGCTTTTCGAGTATTTATAATAATTATTAATTAGAAAAATTAATTACAAATTCCAATTATTTCACATTTTTTTAATTCATCAAAAGTTCTGATCTATTTTATTCACTTTCACTGATATTGTAGTATACTTCTGGGGGCATTGTTTACAACCATCTCGAAAATCTCTATTTCTATAGTATACTTTTGGGGTGGCAATGTAAAAAGTATGTAATAATATAATTATTGTTTCATAAATACTACTATTTGAGTATAAGAATTAAATAATATAACATGAAAATATTTATACATACATAAATACGTAGTATAAAGAATATGTGTTACAAGAATAAAAAAAATATAATTATAGAGAATTCATAATAATTTGTAAAAGTATTGTAAGCGAAAATTATAATTAAAATAATATATGAATTAAAAAAAAAAAGAAAAAATTGCAAAAAAAAAAATATAGAAAAAAACTTTTCGTGCTTTTTGTTCGGCCTTTTTAAATTTAAATTTAATTATAAATAAAATCAAAATAAAAATGAAAATAAGTAAAAAAAAGAATAAATATGTTAAATTTTATTATGACTATATATATATATATAAATTCTATGTATATTAAAATTTTAATGGTAACAAATAAATAAAAAAATAAAGAAAAAGCTAAAAAAAATTTAAAAAAAATTGTTTAATTATTAATTAATTAATTTTTTTTTCCTTTTCTGTGAAAAACCAAAAAAAAATTACGAAAAAAGATTCGCTTAAATTTAAAATTGAATTTTGTAAAATATAAATTTGTTAAAATCATAAAACAATTAATTGGAATACCTGTATTTTCTTGTGGCAAAAGAAAAAAAGAAAACCAAATTTATGGTTTTGTTAACAAAAATTTGTAAATTTTATGCAAATGTGTTCATCATATTGTTAAATTTTAATTAATTAATAAAATTAATTTGATTTATTATAATTACAAGATTAGATTAGCATCAGAATTTTAAAATATTTTTTAAAATTAAAGGCATGGTACACGTTGAACGGAATATTGGAATGAGTCATGAAAAACTAAATTATAAAATTTATTATAAAAGCTAATACTTTCAGAAAAACTGAGGACAATTCGAATAAAATACATTTTCTATCCGATCTTATGGCAATAGTAGAACAAGATTAATATGCAATAGAATAAAAAAGGATTTAAGGCAAATTAGGTATTGCAATTGTACATTATACATTTGTTATACCGAAATTAACAGCTTTTATTATTCTAAATTTCCTAAATATTTTATATGAATAAAATGAAGTCTATATGGAGGCAAAATATTTCATTAATAAAATTTTATAAATTCATTTACTTTTATATTTTCATCGGGAAAATTTAAATACAAAAACATGATATTGCTCATATTATTATGTGGTTATCAATTTGATATATGAAATTAATTTTTAATTTAATAAAAATATATTTAAGAGCAATTTAAAATTTTATAAGTATTATTTAAATTGGAAAATAATTGAAAAAAACCACCTAAAAATTTTAAAATATTTAAAAATTTCCTAAATATTGTATGACGGTAGTATAAAATCACTGAATACACACTATATAATAATTAAACAGAATATTTTATTATTAATTATATTTCAAATTGAAATTCGTCAGGATTTTGAATAACACAATTTTCCTCGGATTTTTTTTTTCTTATATAAATTATAGCGAATGTAAGTATACAATATTTTCTCTTATTGAAAATGCTTAACAAGTACAAAAAGTTTTTATTCAATTCGATTCGATTATTGTTTGAAAAGAGAACCTTTTAATAAATTATAAATTAATAATATTTTTTTGCATACATTTTCAATTATTTTAATCTAGTTTTTAATGGCATTAGAATTTAAAATTTTTGGATTAAAACTATTTATTATTTAAATAAGATTTATGAATTATTCTAATTAATTTTCTTAATAATATTATAGTTTTAATAAATCTCTATGTTATTTAAATAAGTAGTTTATTATGCAGCATTGTTATAAGAAAAACAGGGGATGTTGGGTCATTTTATTGTTAGCGCATTAGTGTGTTTTAACTACTATATTATATTTTGAAGGGTTGCTTATATTAATTGTCTTCTATGTTATTTAAATTGATTAGAAATTTTACGAATTACGAAAAATTATGTTGAAAAAGGTATTTTAATAATAATAAATTAATAAGTGTTTGATTTCTTGAGCACAATCATAAATTGGACAATTTTTAATTTTTAAGTTTTCTTTGTTGAGGTGGGCGAAGATTTTTAATCAGGGACTGAACTGTTCCCTTTATAAAGTTTTAGATCTTCATTACATTATTACTTAAATTTAAATTATTTTATTGTGATGCTAATTTAATGCTACAATTATAGTTTAACAAAAAAAAAATTTACACCCTGTAAAAATGATTTTATTGATAAAATTTTAATTTGCTGAAAAATTAATATTACGAATTTGAAAATTATAATTAATATTTACTTGTTTTAATTGTTATTTAAAAAATATGAAATAATGAGACTCAATTGATTTGTTTATAAACGTGTACAATCAAATACACGTGTATACTCCATATTCCAGGAAACAGAAGTGGGTATTACAGAATGGATTGAAATTAAAAATATAGAATATTATCTTCAAATTTTAACTATTCAATATAGCCTTTACGATATAGGAAAAATTAAAAGATTGTTCTCATTTAGTTCCTTATAAACAGATTTTTAGTATACAATGTTATAAAAAATTCATTTAAAATATTGAAAAATATTTGAAAAAATAAAATTGCCTAACGAAATATTAATAAATTCTTCCAAAATTATAAGAGTAAAAGCTTATTTTTAAAAATAAATTTGTCTAGTTCTAAATTTTTAAATATCCTATTTATTTTATTATTCTTAATGTACATAATAATATTGGTATTATACAAAATACTTAATTGTTATTTAAATTACTTACTCTTTTTGTTACAAAAAAAAAAAAAAATTAAATTTGAAATTGATTTTAAATAAAATTTACAAATTATAATTCAATTTTATTCTTGTTTTATTTTTCTAAATAGCAAAATTTTTCATATTATTGTAAAAATAGAAATTGAATAAATATAAATAATAAATAAATTAAAAATAGAAATTAATTGTAATTCTGTTAAATGTGTAAAAAAACAAAAAAGCAAAAAAAACAAATATAATGTGAAGACTTAAATGTTTAATAATTACATACATAAATGCAAAAAAAAAATAAAATATTAAAAAAAAAATAAATGCATAAAAGGAGAAAAAAAATGAACGAAATTTTTAAAAATTTTTATCTCAGCCATTTAAAATAAAAAATAAGATAAATATTGAATTAAAAAATAATAATAATTAAAAATTTAATTAAGATATATATAAAAAAAAAGAAACAAATAAATTAATAATTAAAATTAATAATCGAATTGAATACAATTTTTCTATATTTTAAGCAATTATTATGAATGAATATGAAAGGATATTAAAAATATAAAAATGGCAAAATTATACTATATTGTAAAAATCGAAAAATTAAGAAATTTAATATTAAAAAACTCATGATACAATTTATATAACATTTCATTATAATATTGTAGATATACATACATACTATATATATAATATATATGAATAAATAATATAATTAAAAATAAAAATTTCATTTTGTTTTCTAAAAATTTTATTCAAATTCTCTTCTAATTATTACAAAATTTGGTAAGCGAAATTTGGTATTATAAACAAATTGTTTTTGTTACAATTACAAATATTAAAAATTTTAATTGCATTGGAAATTAGTACAAAAAAATTTTTTTTTTTAAAATTTAAAACGAATTTAATATTTTCAAAAGTTTAAGCAAAATTTTTCAAAAGGAACTCCAAATAAAATCTTATTATTTCTAAGATATCACACACAATTACTTAAAAGAATGTGGTTGGAGTTTAGAAATTAGCTATATACAATAAAAATGTTGTATTAGCAATAATATTGATCGGTTTCTAATGTCCTTTATTTTCAGTTTCACTTTACCTACATTTTACTACATATATTATTATGGATACAGTTTGGGATACTTTAATTAATTTTTTAACTTCAGAGCTTTCATAATATTTTGAATTTAACACTAGCATTCAAATTTAAAGTTTTAAGTTATTTTACATTTCTTCAATGCAATATATATATAAGGCTTTAGGATACAAAAATATGGCCGATTTAAAACTAATTATATGAATAAGAAATTAAAATTAATAACCCCGATACAAATAACTGCCAACAATATTTAATAAAATTTTATAATTGAATATTCGGGACTTTACAGTAATATTATGAATTAAGAATAATTAACTTATTTATATAATTAAAAAATTTCGTGTACATTCAATAATAAATTAACATGTTTTATGTATAATATTCTTTGATATAATATAATAGATTACACATTGTTTAGTGGAGCAACGTTGCATCCGGGTCTTTGAGGGTTTTTTGTTTCCACCCTTGTAAGTGAGAGAAATTCTTTCATAGAACTCGTTCGAGCCCATGTTATAACAGTTATTTAAAATTAAAAACTTGGTTTATTTTTGAGAAGTTTTTAAATTTTTTTATAATTGTTTTAATTGAAGAATTTTATAATTGTTATAATTGAATTATTATAATTGAAGAAGTAATAATAAAAAATTTTTAATTTTTCTTAATATTATTTTATGTCACAACCGTATTAGAAATTTTTTGATTTCGCTTACACGAATATCGTGCTGATATTGTAAATGGATTTTGTAAATTGATTAATTTGTAAGTATTTATTATTTACACCGTTTTCTGGCATTATTACATTTCATGTAAAGAAAAATTAAAAATAGAAGAGCTTGAATTTCATATTTTTTTATATATGTAATTTCCATAATATTTTTAATTTAACATTGGCATTCAAAATTCAATTTCTAAGTTATTTATATATATACAACAGTAGTAAAACTACAAAAATTTGAGGGAATATAAAACACAAAACGGAGAATTTACTGATATACAAATCTCATTTTTGTCTTAGCTCGAGTTAGGTGGTTTAAGTTCGTGGCCACTGATATGAATAACATAAAACCAATTTGTAAAATGAACATTTTGGCTATATACAGAAATACATCTAATTCATAATATTTGTAAAACTGTAAAATATTTTATTTTTTTTTAATCTATAATTAAATTGCAATTTCCTATAGCATAAAGTTGCTATATTTGGTTTTTTTTTTTGGAAATTAAAAAATACTTTACATAAATGCACTTAAATTTCATTTTGATTAAATATAAAAGTTATTTCATTTAAAAAATATTCAAAATATTTAGCTAGCTATTTTAGGAAAAATGTATAACATCAATTTGTGGTTACGTTTGAGTACATACTTTGTATATAAGTGCATAGGAAAAGCATTAAAATATTATTTTTGAATATTATTTGCATGCTATTCATAGATATACAATTTTTTTTTATATAAATATATTTTAAAAATTAATTAAAAAAATATCAATTCGATGTGACATTATTACCTACGTATATATATTCGCGTTCAATGTTCGTATAACAAATTTATTTATTTTTTTTTTTATTATTAAACCTTCTAGATAGGTTAACCTCTATACCGCAAAAATACAAAAATGTTTTTCATATCTTTATTATTAAAATAATATTTTTATTGTACACAAAGTTTTTTTTTCTCTTTTTAAATATTTTGATATGAAAACCATATAAAGGCCTTTTTTTTAATTAATTTTCACTATCGTATAATATTTAAATTATAATAGAACACCGTGAATATCGTAAAATTTTTAATATAATCAAAAAAAAAATTTAATATTTGCTTATAAAAAAATGGGAATCAAAAGTATTGAGTTATAAAAATTATTTTTTTTTAAATAGCGATCAATCAAATGCATCCTCATTTTAATTATATACAAAGGGGTTTATTAGTGAATTAATAGAGTTTTTAATATACAGATAATTGCTGTATGAAATCAAAGGATTGTTTGAACAAACGCAAAGTTTTTATCAAAAAAAAAAGGAAATATAAAT